TGTTATCATGCTATATTAAGTTTTGTTATGTTGATAAACATTTTGTGTTATTATGTTATGAAAAACTGTTGTTTTATATTATTAAACAAGTATTTAGAAATCTATTTTTATGTAATGCAACTGCAAATAAAATACATTACATATATGTTAATTTTCTATAAGATGCTTATAAAACTATTATCTGACAACTTTTATGTGTCAATATATTACCCATTTATTAGACTTTCAATTAAAATTAGCCTTTTTGCTAAGTATTACCGTTCTCTTTACAACCTGACTTATGTGTCACGGTGTAGTGGGGCTAAATTAAGTCGATTTGACTAAAATAAAAAAACTGCACTATTAACGGAGAGGCAAACAGTGTTGGCGCAATAATCTTTATATAGTTTACATACTGTAAACAATGTTACGCTAAGGTTGCGCAAACGTTACGCCAACGTTACGCTAATATTTTTACTCAAGAAACAGCATTTTAAATGTTAAGATGATTTATTGCAATTTAATTTTTTCTCTTCATTTTAAATTAGTTTAATTTAAGTTATACTTATGTCATTAAATAAAATAAAAAGTCGCGTTACTTGTGCTATTAATTTAATAAAAATGTAAAGTTAACTTACAGACACGTTTACTGTTAACAGTAGTTTTGTTATATTTTTGATAGTTGATATATTTTCGAGGGAAATCTGTGTTAATTAATAGTTAAATCACGCAGATTCCCCACACAACTAATCAACTTACCCATCTTGGGAAGGTTGATCAATTTCGTAAACTTCAGGCAATATCTTCTCAAACAAATTCAAAACAGCTTTTTTTTCCTAAATATTTTTTAGCAGGTTCTATTATCTTTTTTTTTTTGTTGAAAAATAATGTTAATCCGACTCAACGTTTAAGTTTTTTGTTTGTAAAAATTTGATTAGTAAAAATTGCTCAACTATCAACTCAACTATCAACTCAACTATCAACTCAACTATCAACTTAACTATCAACTCAACTATCAACTCAACTATCAACTTAACTATTAACTCAACTATCAACTCAACTACCGACTCAACTAGTCCTAATTTTTAAATCGACCCCTATTTCGATGCTTGTTTCGAAATAAGAATGAATAAAATTTATGAATTAAAAGCTAAAAGTACATAAATCTTATAAGAATACGAATTCTTCCTCATTTTACCACAAAAAACAAACCTTTTACCGCATGTTTAAAGTGTTTACGTGTATTTTTTTTTGAATTTGTTTTTTAAAGTTTTTTTAAATTTATAATAATATTCAATTGCATTTGTTAATGTGATTTTATTAACAAGTATTAATTCTGAAAATTTCAATACTTTTACTGTATTTATATGCATTACATACTCTGTATTATGCATTACAAAATAGTTTTATTTATTATTTTTTCACAGCATATATTTCCTATTCATTATGAAATTTTTTATGTCATGGGTTAGAATGTAATGTTATGAAGTTGTATAACAAATTTTACAAACAAAAAAATTCTAATTCTCATTGTAATCACGAACTGAAAATATTAAATCGGTCAGTAAAAACTTGATCGAATTGCTATCACAATAAAGCCACTAATGATTGAATTTGTTTTCTATGAAAGACCGATGGGTATGCATGGTATAGCTGCAGTTGTTAGTGTAGCTTATGCTGAATCGTTAACTTTACAAAATTATGCAGACTTTACTTAAATAGAAACTAAAAAGCTCTACGCCAACATATTTAGTGAAGATAAACTTTATTTGTGAATCCGACTGCTTAATGCAATCATATTGATATCTGTTCCTCCTTTTGGTTTTATTCCCGCAATCAGTCACGCAATTGTAAACCTTCACTGATTGAGGTACCAGCTGAGTTTGATTGAAAATAGAATCTTTTTTAATTGACTGACAAGTTAATTCTTGAGTACTTCTATCAACGTTAATCATCAAGCCATTTTAAAAGGCTAGAACATAAAATTTCAAAAATGATTTTATCAAAAATTATTGCATTTATCTCTATTTAGATTTCATATTTTGTGTATAACATTTATGTAATGTATATATTCAAGACTTATTTTTTATTAAAATATTTTTTATACTTTGTTTTATATGATAAGATGTATTCAGTAATTTAGGTAAATAAAATTTTGACCATGGAATTATACTCTTCCCATTCACGGTTGTAAACTAGACTATACTAAATTATTTCTAACCCAAGTAGCAATGTTTTAGAGGCCCAACAAAGATCTACTATGGTAACTAAACACCTAGTTAGAGTAGCACAATACCATTGTATTCATTTTTAACAATTATTTAAAAGGTAGCATCAGGGGCGGACTGGCCATGTGGAAGATGTGGACTATTCCACATGGGCCGTTGTTAAGTACTTTGTTTTTACGTATATGTATTCTAATAAATTTTTTCTGTTCGATATTTATTCATTAATGTATATATTTATAAATTAAGCATAACTTTGTAATTTACGTCTGTTATCTTTGCTGCTTTTCCTCATTTTTCGTTGGCCTACAGGGCCGTTAAAAATATTTTTCCACATCATAATAATTTGGCCAGTCCGCCCCTGGGTAGCATATATAAACTTGCCAATGTGCTAAGTCTAACTAAAATTTAGAACATAATGTCACCAGATTGCTGCAAAACAATGGTAATAAATTTGTAGTTTTTACTATTGTTAACTAGTATATAACAAAAGTAAAAAAATATCCAATTGTATTTTAATTTCTATTATTATGCTTTACTTTTATTATTATGTGATGATTAACGCAAACTTGCTCAATTTTGGTATAAACCAACAATTTATAACTATATATTAACCATTGTTTAAAAATTAAAAAAAAAAAGGTTGAATAGCAAAAAAAGTTAAGAGGGATTTTAATGAAATTGAAAACAATGTTGAACGCAAATAATGATTCATATTGTTTGATGTTCAAAATGGTATTAGCTGAAACACCGTTTTGACAAAAAAATACTTTTACTTTCGCTGTATCATTCATCTTATTGGTAACTAAGGATAACTTGTAACTATGAATTTAAATAAGTTTCTAGAATTATGTTAATCTTTAAACCATTTACAAAGACCATCCTTTTTACGTCATCATTATTATGATAAAATCTTATCGATAATAATTGAAACCTATTTACGATGTTTATAGAAATCTATATCGATATATATATATATATATATATATATATATATATATATATATATATATATATATATATATATATATATATATGTAAATTTAACTTAAATTGCTAGTTTAGGTGACGTCACACTGAAATAGCCTGCTGCCGAGGGCTTCAGTACATACATGAGAAATAGCCTTACTTGAAGCGAGGGGCTGCTACATCGACGGGTTTGGGATGGGACAGCAATCTTTTCTTTCATTATTCATCGTTTTTTTTTTTTTTTTTACTGAAAATACCGTATGCAATAAAGATAAGCAAAACTAGTGAGAAAATGCTTATTTAAACAAGTTACAGAAGATATATATATATATATATATATATATATATATATATATATATGTATATATACAGTGTTTGAAATGGGACGGGATGCGTCCATCCCTTCACCTTTTTATAAAGTACAAACGATTCCGCCACCTTTTTATAAATCTTTCTATATAACAATGAATAGGCGAGATGCTATTTTTACTTTACCGAATACCATCTCGTTACTTTATTTTCCCCACTTCGAGCACTGTACATATATATATATATATATATATATATATATATATATATATATATATATATATATATATATATATATATATATATATATATATATATATATATATATATATATATATATATATATCATATATATATATATATATATATATATATATATATATATATATATATATATATATATATATATATATATATATATATATATATATATATACATATATATATATATATATATATATATATATATATATATATATATATATATATATATATATATATATATATATATATATATATATAAACTGTTAAACTGTATTTCAAAGGCCAAGTCTATACAGCCCTTAACTGCGTGGATTTGTAAATTCGACATATGTATATATAAACTAGTCAAATCAAGATTTTTCAAACCAATTAAAGTTCGAAACATTCATTCATCAACTTCTACTTCATTGTGACCTTAAAATATTTACTCATCAACCTTAAATCCAGTGAAATTATTTGTTTAAAGAATAATTATCACTGAACTGATAAGTTTAAATTGATAATTAAAACTGCACACGCTTCTTGACGTGGAATTTTCAAATGTTTCTTTTTCACTCAAAAAGAAATTTTAAATGTTGTCTTGATCAAGTAAAAATTAAGCCTATATGGAAATTTAGGAGTTCTAAAAACAAAGCATAAAAAATCTAAAGCCAGTAATTAAACAAAGTTATCAAAATCAGACCAGAGTATTAAAAAAAATAATCAAAACTTTTAAAACTGTCTCGTATTTTTTTTTTTTTTTTTTTTTTTTTTTTTGTAGTTTGAAAATTACTGGGTAAAATATTTTCCGACAAGGTCGTGGGAACTAAAGGTGCTAGCTTTTCTTAAAGTTTATTAAAAGAATATTTTTAATTAGATTTTTTTTACTGTTGTAAATTTCGAATAATTCTGTCTGATTATATTTTACAACTTTACTGCTTTATAAAAGTAATCATTATTAAAAATAGCTTTGATATAAATTTAGAGATTTTTCCCTGTTTTAAATTTATAATATGTATTTAAACAAAAAAACATTAGATTTAGCAAAAAAAATTAGATTTAGCAAATATGATAATAATTATATTTAACTAATAAATGCTTTAAACGATTTATAAAATAAAAACGTTTATTAAAGTCGCAAAGGAGGAGCGTTAATATTTTTAATTTATGATGCATTTGACATATGAATTATTCTGCATAATTAATCAACATCGAAAAACGACATCCAATAGGGATAAAGTGGTTGATGATTATGCAAGATTGTAAAAGTTTATAATTTCCGTCAAAGCTAGTGAACTGTAAAGAAATTATAAGCGCAGTCTTAAATTAAAAAGTTCGTACTTGACAAAAGTTCGAGAGAAATATATCTTTGAAAAGTAAATTTATGTAAGCAAAATGAAAATTAAAATCGTAATAGCTGTATTATTTATGTTTACTATACTTTGTAAGTCAAAACAGGCGTCCACGACGTTAAAAAAATCAGAAGGTTCTGGTGATGGTTCTGCTAATGTATCTGATCAAAAATACAAAAAGGTTTTAAAGAGCCCAACCTATGGAATAATAGATAATACTGAAGAAGGTTCAGCTGAAGATGACGATGAAGAAAGTTCAGGTGACGATGGCAGTGGTAGTGGTATACCGACGTTGATAACAACGAAAAAAAGTACCGTAAAAGTTATTTCTTCTACAATCGCTAGTATAACTGTTTTTGATATCAATACTCCTACAATATCTTCAGTTGCTAAAAGCAATAATGCAACTGAGACAAGTTATGGTCTTTCATCAACATCACAATCTGTCACAACTAATAGTCAAGAAATGATAAAACAAGGTGAAGATCAGCCAGGAATAAATTTCACATTAGGAATTATCATCGGAGTTGTTGTCGGTGCTGTTTTAGCAATATTAGTTATAATTTTTCTTGTTTATCGACTTCGTAAAAAAGACGAAGGTAGCTACTCACTTGAGGAGCAGAGTACACAAGCATTTATAACTAATGATGGTCCCCAAAAAACTGAAAAAGAAGTTTATGCATAAGCTTTATTTTATTACAATCACTTTATACAGCATAAAGTGTTATATAATGCAGATAACTTTCTAATACGATCCAAATGCGTTAGACTGATGTATCTAATTCAGTATTAGGTACAGGAAGAAAATATTCTAGCATGGAGCTTACATTTTATATAAAACATTAAAAGAAAAATTTTTTAAGAAAGTATTGATATTATTTTGTTTACTCAAATAAATTCTTAGTAAAAAAGAGTTTCAGGAACTTGTGTTACTGTACTACTTCAGTTCATTCTTTAGTACTTAAGTATTGTTTTTTTCTCTCTTTTTTCCTAAACCAACATAAAGCAATTAATCGATTTTCAATTCCTAAGTTATAGCTGTTTTAAAAATATACCAATGAAACGTGATTGGCTTTGTTTTACGTTGTATTTGTTTTTAATGTTTTCTCGTTTAACAATGCTACTTGTTTATAGAACTGTTTTGAATGAACGTTTGAACTGAAAGAGTTTTTTTAAATATTTTGTTTATTTTTTGTAGTATTTTATTTAATTTTAGATATTCTATAAAGAATACATACATCCCCCTATCTATTTAATGTACATTATATCTTAATGTTTTCTGTCAAAATTTTGTATTAATAAAATTTTGTTTTGTTTTTCACAATGTATTATAAAAAAAAGATGATTAAGTAAATATCAAATCAAAGTTGATTACGAGTATTTACTTTAACATTGATATTTTATTTATTTTTTCTACAGTAGTTGTTTTTTCTTTTGCAAGACAAAAGAGCACATGCCAGTATAAAGCGCTTTGGTTCAAACGACTAATCCACGCTGCTCGGGAAACAATATGAGATATTATCGGCTTATTATAAACCATTTAATTAAAGTTTCGCGAATAGCTTACCGTTTTTTTATATAATTAAAGGAAGCGCTTATCGGTGCGAAACCTTTCGTCGTCCTTTTCTCTTGTAACTACATCTTTGATCTTTTTAAGATGAAGTATATAGTATGGAGGTTTTTTTCTGTTTCCATGGATCAATAAGATGATAAGAATTTCGTTTTAGTCGCTTGCTTTTGTCAATAATTTAAAAACTAACTTTCGGAAAATCTAAAATCTACTTAAGGATGTTACTTTACTCGGAAAATATTTTTGCTGATTTTTTAAGTCTCCCTTCAGAATAAAATAATGCAAACTACTTACGATAAAAATTATAAATTTAGTATAGGCATCAGATCTAAGTGAGAGACTCGATTGATTAAGAGATAAAAAAGAACTGAACCGTTCTATAAATGAATTAACAGTAAAATAACTTTTTTCTTTTTTTAAATAATTTTAGGAAGTCTTTTGTTAAATTAATTTTCATATTGTGCGGCGTTATTATAATTAACTTTTTTTCATGATTAACAACAGTTTTCAAACTTTATTATTTGTTTTCTAATGTCACAATTTTTATTTATTGTTTGACGCAAACAAATTATGTATATTGGTTGTCCAAAAAAATAATGTTTGGCGCCATATCTTTAGTATAAGTTTTCATTGAATGACAACGTGGACTTAAATCAATTTTCAGCAATAGTAAATAAAAAAAAATCATTTTTACTGCACCTGATCTTCTTTAGTATCGCTTGTGATATAAGTTTATTCGGTTTTTAAGATTCTTTTTTTTCAATAAAGTTTCAAAGAAAACATCAAATAACTCTTTTAAACTTTTGTTGGTTATTTTTCTTTTTATTTAACGCCTCCTATATAAACCGAGCGACCATGAAGTGCTTGTTTTTATAAATATAATATTTGAACACTCTTCACTGTAGCGACACTATTTAAAAAACTCCTGAAAAAAACGTTACAAACTAATTTAATTAAAGTGCATTAGAACAACGTGATATACTCTACAAGTAAAAATTAAATTTTCTGTTCAATAAACATTAAATATATTAAAATTTATAAAGTTGCGGATAAATAATAAATTTTAAAGATACCGAGAAAATACGTTTTAACTAATGACGAGAGATCATTTATAAATTATGTCAGTAGATAAAAGGGGAAATTTTTGTTTTAGGAAGAGGTGAAAAAAAGAACTGACATCATTTTGATGGAGGGTTGGACCAAATATTGACAGTTTGATAACAAGGAAAGGGGTTTCAATTAATAGACGGCCCCTTTTAAAACTGGGTTTAATGTTACTTTCATAAACACCCATTTTTAAGATCAAACTAACGCTCAAACGAAATTTGTTTAGGTTCCTAAAAAATAAAGTTTTTAATTTTGTAAAACTAATTTCAAAAAAAAAAAAAAAAAAAATCTATGAAAAGTAATCATCCCAACTAATCTTAGATCCAAGATAAGTAATCTTATCACAATCTTTGTTTGTTTTTTGTGTCTTTTTTTGTGTATGAATAACAATATTTGAATTTTAATAAGTGTATAGTAAGCGCTATACCCGTGTGTCATGAACATCTTGTTTGTTTGACCGGCTGTCATTTTTAAGAAATACGTTTAACTAGCATTTAATTTTTTGTTGCACAACTTCAGACCAAGTCTGGCAAGAAATCTTATGCGTAACCTGCCCATTTATTTGGCTAACATTTATTGTTAGCCGAATAAATTGGCAGGCATTTATTTGTTTTTTGCCCTAGTAACGGCGGAGACACTATTGTACTATCACTATTTAAGGCGCATTATTGCAGAAAAACTGAGGACAACCAAACGAGTTCTTATGAAAGAAAAGGAAACAAATGAGGAGGAGAAATAATAGCCTACATTCGAAAAGGCTAAGAAAAAGAAAAAAAAATTAGAAATGATCTTTCCAATCTGATTCTAATAGCGAGGTTCTTACATTTGAATTAATTAACTAAGCTATACCTTTAAGCAACCCTTTATTACTTTTATTACTATATCTACTTGTTCCAGACAAATTGACAAAGATATTCTAAAATCTTTCAAATTATATAAAACAGATATATATTAAAAACAAGATCGCACAGAAAAAACTAATTTGTATTGAGGATTTGAAGATAAAATTATTTAAACTATTACGGACATAAAAATACCGAAAATTTTTTATGACCGTATGATGCAGCACTACCAGTTAAAAATTATAAAAAAACCCACCTGAATTACTTCGACCTATTTACTTCTATTGTCAATATATTGACAAACTTAATTCAAAAAACATTTTTACAAACAAAAATAATAAAAACAGACATATCTGGCCACTTCTGAATATAATTTTAATTATTACAACATGCAAAAAGTATCAACAATGAAAATAAAAATTATAAAAATATAAATATAAATAAATGTTCTTCACAAAAATTTAAAGACTCAATACTGCATCGGTCTGCAGAGCAACGGTAAAAAATTGGTCAAAAATATACCACGGATGCAACCTCGGACACTCGAACTATGACTACAAATAAATTTATAGACATATTCGTAACTCATTTTAATGATCCCATTCCAAAAGTAGAAAATGTAATAGAAGCAAAATATTTGACCTGTTCATGGATTATCAAAGAAATGAAATAATATTAAAAATGAAAATAAAAGTGTCAAGATTTTAAAGTATAAGCAATACAAAAGTTTAATTAAAAAACTATATAAATTATATATAAAAACTAAATAAAATATATATTAAAAAGTATATTAATCAAAACAAATTCAAAATCATAAAGGGGATACCGAAAAAATCCTGGGATGTTAAAAAAGAAATAATTAGTAAAACAAAATAAACTAATTAATTAGTTTAAAATTACTGTACCCCAAAATTACTCATAAATGAAAAAGAGTTTAATATTAAAAAGATCATCTTTGAAAAGTTTAACAAACGCTTTGCAAATATAAAGGTTCTAAACTTGCTTCAAAAACACAGTTTGCAAATATAGGTTTTAAACTTGCTTCAAAAACACAGTTTGCAAATATAGGTTCTAAACTTGCTTCAAAAACACAGTTTGCAAATATAGGTTCTAAACTTGCTTCAAAAACACAGTTTGCAAATATAGGTTCTAAACTTGCTTCAAAAACACAGTTTGCAAATATAGGTTCTAAACTTGCTTCAAAAACACAGTTTGCAAATATAGGTTCTAAACTTGCTTCAAAAACACAGTTTGCAAATATAGGTTCTAAACTTGCTTCAAAAACACAGTTTGCAAATATAGGTTCTAAACTTGCTTCAAAAACACAGTTTGCAAATATAGGTTCTAAACTTGCTTCAAAAACACAGTTTGCAAATATAGGTTCTAAACTTGCTTCAAAAACACAGTTTGCAAATATAGGTTCTAAACTTGCTTCAAAAACACAGTTTGCAAATATAGGTTCTAAACTTGCTTCAAAAACACAGTTTACAAACAATTCATTTGAAAGTTAGATAAAGGACTTTCACAACTTATACGAAAAACTTAAAATGGCAATGGAAACATTAAAAGAATATATATTGATGATATCTCTACCATTTTTCAAATATTTAACTCCTGTACCGTACCTGATAACTTAAAAATAGCTAAAGTTGTGCCAATCCATAAATCTGGGGAACTTCCTCCGTTAACTACGACCAATACATTTACTTTCTATGGTTTCAAAGCTCTTGAAACAAACTATTTACAAAGGTTCCAAAGCTACTAATATAACAGAAAACAATGTAAAATAAAGATATTGTATTACAACAGATAAAAGTTATTCATAAAATTGGAATTATGAAAAAAAAAAAAGTTTTCTCTGAGCAACATGATGAGGGATTGGCTTATTAAATCTTAAAATATGTTTATATCATTAATGTATATTGAATAAAATCTTATCAGACAACTCGTTACCGCTCTTGACAAAGAGTCGACGTTTTTTAGGTATATCTTTTTCCAAAGCTGTCGGAAGCTAAGTTTAAAGTTGGTATCTTCGTGACTGCAGATCAAGAAAATTATAGAACATGAAAAGTTTGCTAAACTTGAACAGAATGTAGCTTGGAACCGTTTTGTTGCTGCTCGTAGCTTCCAGTGTAATCAAATAGGTGAAATCTAGGTGGAAATGGTTAATTTTCTTATAAAGAACTTATTCTAAGCGGAATGCAGAGAACGTTAAAGCTTACTTAGAGGAGCAAGGCGTAGGCTTATCAAAGTATATTAAAGCTTAAACTCCGTTAATTAGGACAATGTTACAAAAACATTGTAGGGGACTACATTTAGGGACTACTTCGCAAAAGAGATTTACAGACACTTTCAAATCAAGAAAACATTTTGATTACTAAATCTTTTTAAGTAATTTTTTACTGCCTATTCAATTTGCAACAGTTTTTACTTCGAAAGTACGTTTGAAATTTTTTTTGTGTTCTCTCAATAAAAATTAATTTTATTCGCATTGTGGTCGTAAAACAAAAGTTTGTGCTCAATGTTTTTTAAAGAAAATTTTTTTTTTGAGTTTTAAATAAAATATAGCAATTTGAATTTAAAGATAAAAATTGTGTCATGTAGTGTTATTACCTTAAATCAGATTTTGGAAGAAAATTTTTCTACCAAATGCTCTTCGAATCTTTTTTAAAAAAGAACATTTTTAAAAAATGGTTTTACTTAAGTCAGTAACCTAATTGCTTTATAATTGATTCTTAATAACAGTTAAGGTTGTGTTTCAAGAAAGAACCAACTATTAGATTTTAACATCTGTTTCGCTTTAACTTTTATAAGTTTATTTTACTGATGTTGCATTGACTACGTCACTATCA